TAGGGTTCAAGGGGCTAATGGCACAGGCATATTCCAAGATGACAATGCCAGGATTCATCGGGCTCAAATTGTGAAAGACTGGTTCAAGGAGCATGACACATCATTTTCACACATGGATTGGCCACCACAGAGTCCAGACCTCAACCCCGTTGAGAATCTTTGGGATGTGCTAGAGAGGGCTTTGCGCAGCGGTCAGACTCTACCATCATCAATGCAAGAACTTGGTGAAAAATCAATGCAACACTGGATGGAAATAAATCTTTTGACATTGCAGAAGCTTATCGAAACAATGCCACAGCGAATGCGTGCCGTAATCAAAGCAAAAGTCGGTCCAACAAAGTATTAGACTGACCTTTTTTTTTGGTGGCGACTTTTTTTTTGGCCAGGCAGTGTGTATATATAAATATTTATAAATCTATATATATATTAGGGATGGGACAATTTATGAAAACCGTCAGAACCGTTCGGTTCGACTGTCTCGGTTCGGTTCGCGTGTGTTTCGTTCGGTTCATGCGCTGCTCCTTTTTCTCATAGGTGAAGCGTTTACACTCCAGAGCAGACGGTGGCGGTACTGCGACCAAAGCCAACCACCAGTAGAAAACAAGAAGAAGAAGAAGCGAAGCAGCTTAGCCAGGTGTAGCAGGGAAAAAAATCAGTTGTTTTGGAGAATTGTGTCGGAATGGCGAGTGGGAAAGAACAAGAGTTGGAAGAAGCGCCAGCAGCACTTTATAGGTCTGCTGTATGGGACCGCTTTGCATTTAGAGTGACCTACGATGACGACGGAAAGAAAGTTGTGGATAAAAGTGCAACCGTGTACAAGCATTGGGCAACACGTTTTGTTTACGCTAACAGCAACATGACCAACATGTCATGCTAACCCCGAAATCCCTCTTACTCTGTTAGCAACCCCCGCTCCGCCCCGCTGCGCTCCAGACCGGCTGCTCAGAGCAAAGCCTACAGCCCCCACTGTGGCTCCCTCCATCCGCTCCCCTCTGAGTCCCTTGGAGATGGTAGAGAGCATGCGCGAGATGATTAAATTCAAAGCAGCAAAACATACGGAAATGATCCAGGGTTTCCGCGGATCTTTTAAAATAATTAGAATCCATTATTTTTGGGGGGATTTTTTCATTAATTCCATCAATTTTTATGGGATTTCGGTGTAACAATCAACATGTATCGAACCGAACCGAAAACCGTGACCAGAAACCGTGAATCGAACCGAACCGTGGATTTTGTGAACCGTTCCACCCCTTAAATATATATATATATATATATATATATAGTGTGCACTTTTTTGTTTAAGTTTGTAACCTCATTGGTTAATGTGACATGGGTCAATTATTCCCATAGCTGCTGTTGTTGAATTTTGTTTTCTGTTTTAGTAATATCTCGGAGAAAGCCATCCATCCATCAATTTTCCTTTATGTTTATCCCAATTGGGGTCACGAGGGGTGCTGGTGCCTATCTCCAGCTGTCTACTAGCGAGAGGCGTGGTACACCCTGGACAGGTCACCAGTCCATCGCTCGGAAAACATTTTCTAAGATTCTACAGTACAAAAACAAGTAATAAAAGCATGTATGCTAATATTTTATAGCGTCATTATCAGTATCAGTTAACTCTCAAAGCTGTAATATAGGTACCGTACTGAACATGAAAACGTATCCTGACATCCTTACTTTGGTCCCTAGAATACCTTTTCTTGTCATCTCAAAGGGATTTCTAACCTGAAACTTTCTTGTTTGATTTTTGTGATTTGACAATTTTAAGACAACAACTTTTGTCCATTCAGATTTTCAATTTTTCTTTAAAGTTAAAACATATTTAGAAATACATCTCTTCTTTTACTAGGTGTACTAACTAAGGACAAGAACATTTCATACTTTAATAAGAGTCTTGTGAATTTTCTCACTGCTTTTATGTAAACATTTTCAGAGGATAAAAATAAGTCTACCAAGATGGAAGAACAGATTTCTTGGCTTTTGCAAAGTAATTATAAAACAGGTGATAAGGTTTCTTTCAGATTTCTACTCTGACTAAGTACATTTACACATCCTACTTTGGTTTTTTTTTTTTTTTTTTGTATGGTTAAACTTAAATGAAATAACATAGAAATGGCCAACACTAAAGAGCTGTCCAAAGACAAGCCATGTTAGTAGTTGGATTCTTACTGATTGTATGCGGTGGACAGGTGTCGTTATGCAGCTAACAACCTAAAACAGGTGTATCTAATTTATGATGATAAAAGGAGTGGAGGTGGACATTTTGAAGGCAGACAAACAGGTCTTTGAGGGTCAGAATTTTAGCAGATAGACAGGTGCACATATGCTTATTTGCAGCTGTATCCTACAAATAAATAGTTAAAAAATCATACATTGTGATTTCTGGATTTTCTGTTTAGATCATGTCTCTCACGGTGGACATCCAAACATGATGACAATTTCAGACCCCTCCATGATTTCTAAGGCGAGAGAGAGTGTTGAAATACTTCTTTTCCTCACTGAATATATACATCAGCATGCTTTAATGTCATACAGGCAAGCAAAAATCACAGCAGATTTATGGATGTGCTGCTGTTTGAAAACCACAGGTGATACTGTCAGAATAATGTAACCATGAGCAATATCAAGGTTTGCTGATTTGTTCTTGGTGATTTTCTATTTTTATTTGCATGTCAGCAAAGGGTATGACTTTGTAAAACCAAATTTCTTATCTAGACTACTAAAATATCATTACAGCTTTTATTGAACCCTTCATTGACCCATGTGTTCTCTGTGGGGATTTGACAGGAAAAAAAGCATAATTCGCACAATAACAATGTCTGGAGGCAGACGCATTGTTGGTAGTTTGAAATAAAAACTCCAGAATTTTCTCCTTCAGTTAAGTCTTTAATTACAGGATGGTGCATGGTGAAGTTGTATAGACCTTTAACCCCTCCCCCACCCCTTTTTAGGTCCTCTGCCATTCTTGTTTAAGTTATATTTTTTATACATTCTAACCAGGACTTGGACATACATGTAGTTGTTTTGATTAGAACAAGAGATAATTTATTTCAAAGACAAATATATCACAATAATTCACAGATTATTGTGCAAGGCTGACATCACCCCAGCTTCCAGTCAAAAATGTTGCCCTGACTGTAATCCTGTTTGCTGTACCATCCTCACATCACTGTCTGTCATCCTGCAGCCTGTCCTTGATGACAGAAAGGTGAGGCAGACAGATGGGAAACAAGTCCTGACCGGTTACACCCAGGCAGTATCTTATGCTCCCTGAAGCCTCGGGTGTTTTACCGTCTCTGTTTTTTCACGATCTGGATACTGTGTGTAGATCATTTTAACAAAAAGTACATCTAATAGAAATACACATAACCTGGAAAGGGTTTTCTGCCTCAGGCCAACTGCTGAAAACAGAACAAAGGATGTCTCTTTTTTTTTTATTTGACTTGAGGAAAACCGCACAATATTTAAATCAGTTTAAAAGCACCGTTTTTCTTCTATGTAATTTCTTCTTTGTGGCTAGGCTTTTTATTATCTGAGTATACACAACTCTGCTTTCAACTTTAAAACACACCCCTACTTAAATCTATTGAGAATTCAACCTTTTTTTCCTTACAGGCTTTAAAAAAATCTATTCTGCAAAGAATTTTGTTTGTTTGAATTGCTTGATTTGATTTTGACCTCATGGAATAACATTAGTCTAAAAGTACAAAACAGCATGCAAGAACATCTTTTTAAGGACGGTTCATATTGTCTTTAGAAGGGTTGTCAATAGTTATAAGCACAATGGTATCTATTTTGTTGATTCATCAATTTATCTAAAATAATTGATAGATTTACTACTAAAACAATCTATAGCTGCAGCCCTAGCCATTGAAAATCGCAACATAAAGAGAAACCATTCAAGTGCTGTTCCAATTGTATTAAATGGTTATTTCTGCATAGCTAATCCAGCTTATTATTCAGGTAGAAGAATGGGCATTGGTTTCTAACCTACAGTAAAAACACCATGTTTTGACTGTGAAGTTGAGCCCAACATAAATGCTTTTATTTACATTAGAAAAAAATTCTCATACTGCAGATAAGATAAAATAATACATCGAATTTAACAGTGATATATTATTATCAAGATTTATAGACTTAAAAATAAGCATCTGTTCAGTCCCCCATTATTTCTGAGGTGCTTGTCGGTTTATGCTTAATGGGTCAGCACGGCTAACCTGGCAGCAGCTAGATTGATATGTGTAGAACTGAGTTGAGTTCTACGTTATTTGTTGTGAGATTGAAAACTCAGATCTCGCAAAAAATCCAGCTTTTAGTGCAAGGTTACACTACGGCACCCTACAGCTAAATTCCGTAATTTCTATGATCTATACCCGTGGAATGCGGCTTTGGTGCGGCCTGAGTTATCCACACTGCTTAGCTAAGAAAAACAGTTTGATAAAAAAGCTGGCCAAAAGAGGGCGCCACCCCACCCGCCCAATGACCCTGATTAAGACAAAAAAAATAATAAAT